AGCCTGCCTGTGCTGGCCAGGTCGGGATAGTTGCGTTGCGACTCTGCTTACTTTGCCTGCAACCCTCCACGACATTTTTTTTCCTCCCCTCTCCCGCTCTCGCCCTGGGGCGCAAGAGCGAGCTAAGGTACCAAAGTGGCCCTCCCACCCGCCTTTCCTCCTCCTCTCACGACCAGACCTTGTGCGCTTGTACCATATCACACTTGCGTGCCTTTTTTGGCGCATGCTCTCTCTTTCACACTCGCCCTGTTTGCAGGCCTGTTTTGCTCACCGAAAGTTCCAACAAGATAACAGAGTCAGAAAGTCGCCACGCGGGAGACAGCCCGAGCTCCGAGCTAAATTGTACGTCAAGAATTAAAAAAGCGGGCAGCTTTTATTTTCTTTTATTTATATTTTTCTCTCGCTCAAACGGGTCGGTTGTAGTCTTGGGAGCTGGGGGCCGAAAATTGGCGACGTTCGGTTTCGGATTTTGGTTGGAGCCCTAGGCCTGACAGCGCATTATTCTCCAGGCCTCCGGGAAACAGGCGCAGACAGTCGCGCGTCAAAAACCCCAGCCAAACCCAAGCGCCCCTTCAGCTGCTCCCAGCTTGCTGGAATTTGCCTTGGGGTTCCGCCACACACACGCACACACACGCGCACCCCCCTCCCGAAAGAAGAAGGGAAGCAAGAAAGACAGGAGAGGGAAAAAAAGAAAAAGAGAAAAATACAGGCGCGCGCGTGCCTCTCTGTATACACGGTAAGCTTCCCAGGCCCGGGACGAAGCTGCCTGCGATCCACTATCGTCCCGCCACTTTGACCGGAACGTCAAACCCGCGCGACACACAGCTGTGGAGGCTCGCTCCTCTGACGTGTCATCCAGTGGCCGACCTTGAAGGCTTGAAGTACCCGGAGTGCCTTTGAAGACTAACCGTCTCGCCGCTCGCAGCTCTCAGTGCTCTCTATCGCGTCCACCCCCCCTTCAGCCCAGGTCTGGCCCAGCATTCCCCAGCACCCTGTCCAGCCCAGCCCGGCCTTGTGGCCCTTGCGCCGTGACAGGCGATCCACACCAGGACTCTTGACTTCGGCGCTGCACCGCTCTTACTCTATTCAGGCCCACGCTGGCGCACATACGCACACGCCACCCTCCCTGCAGACCCTCCCCCTCCCCTTCCGATTATTACTGTTGCTACTTCCGCTGTACTGTGCACGAACGACAAGTTCGGCGATTCTCCAAAAAAGACACACGCATCACCGCCGCACTGCCACCACCACCACCACCACCACCACCTAACGCCCTGTCCTGCCCTGCCAGGGAAAAGCAAACCACAGCAAAAGAGTTGGCGCAACGAACGCACGCACCCCTTTGAGAGTTCGGCGCAGATTCACCGACACAGACCCGAAAAGAAACGAAAAAGCGTAGTGGGCCTTCTGAATCACACGCCTGGATGGCCGATTACCCACACGAGACGAACCACATTCTCCCATAACAGCGCCTTGTCGCCTCCTTCGTCGCTCGCCCGCCGCGCCAGGACCATCACGCATCTGCTTGCTCCTCCAGAACCCATCTTTGCTTTTTTACCCACCACGGGCCTTGCGTCACCCGCTGCCCTTCTTTCCTTCTCTCTCTGCTTATCCCATTGCTCCCTTTGTGTGTGTGCCTGTGTTTGTTTTTTTTTTTGTTTTTTTGGTGCTGTGCGACCTCACCCGCCCCGACCTTTGTGCAACGAGAAAAAAAGAGGGAAAGGGAAAGGCGCCAAGAGCGCTTAGGACCCAACTCAGCCGCCTTTTCTCATTTCGCTCCAGGTCCGCCCCAGACGCCACTTTTAGGGCCTTCCGTCCTGTCCGCGCCCTTCCAACTCCCCTGGCCTGGTGCTCCGCATTTTGCGCCGACCAAAGACCAGACACCCGCCAGAAAAATAAGCCGGCCCTTTCCTACGTACCGACCTCGGCTTCTGGCACAGGGCTATTTCCTACCTGCCTGCCTCGGCGGCTTTTTTTTCTTTTTCTTTCTTTCTTTTTGTCCGTTTTCTTGGCGGTGTTGCACTTCCCACATATATTCTACGACGGGCGCAACTGTCGCTTGTTGAAGAATGGCGACATTTACCGCCCTGAATGGGGGCTCACCCAAGGCGCCCGAAGGTGTCAACGGCAACAGTGTGCCGGCGAGGAGGAATGGTTCCGAGGAGCGCCAGAGCAATACCCCGGCGGCAGCAACAGCAGCAGCAACAACAAAACCTACAATAACAGCAGCGCCGGAAGCTGGGTCTCCCACCGGCAAGGCCTCTGCGCCAGCCGGGAACGCGTCATTGCCTTCAGTCGTCCTCACCAGACATGAGAGGGATCACGACCACCACCAGCCGAGCGAGGCTGAGCGCCAGCGCAGGAGTCGCTGGATAGGGGTTCTCTCCCACCAGGAAGAACGGCCGCCTCTGTACCAGCCGACCGCCTATCCAGGTGCTCACGAATCTGCCCTGGCCAAGCGGAAACGCTCCCATTCGCCTCCCATCTCGCCTCCCTCGCCAACCGGCGGCGCTCGCGAAATCTTCGGGCGCCGGGGAGGATCCGAGCCTAGGGACGCGCCGCATGCCGCACCACGTGATCGCAACAGCCTGAGCCCTCCCAAGGTTGGCCACAACACGGATCTCAGGAGGGCGCTTGGCCGCGAAAGCGCTCGGGACTTTGAGCGGAGCGGGAGCCGGCTAAAGTTCACCATGATGAGCAGCAAGGACGACAACTGGGGGCCCAACTACGAGCAGCTGCACTCGGCGGTGCCCGACTCGGCCGTCAGCGAGGTCGACCCCATTGGCGATCTAGTTCACTTTGAAGGCACACAGGCCGCCGACGTGGACATGGATGACTCCCCCGTCGCCTCTTCGTACCGTCACACCTCTTTCGTTCCCGAGCAGCGCCGTGACGGCCTCATCCAGTCAGATCCCAAGAAGAGGAAGCGCAACTTCAGCAATAGGACCAAGACTGGATGCCTCACCTGCAGGCGCCGGAAGAAGAAGTGCGACGAAGCCAAACCCGAATGTGAGAATCTCCCTAGTCCTGTTATGTACGGACAACCAAAGCTGACCCGGACCCTTCGCCCGTGCCTCAGGCTCCAACTGTATCAAGGGCGGATTCGTCTGTGCTGGATATCCACCCCAGCGTGGTGCCTGGCCGAGCAAGCAGGAAAGCAAGGCGACAGCAGTCCAGATCGAGAGCAAGGACCCCAACTACAGGCCGCCAGGGGCCTATGGCATGGGCGGCTCCCGCGAACCCTATGCGGCCCAGGGCCAGGGCCAGGGCCAGGGTCAGAGTCAGAACCAGGCCCAGAGCCAAGGCCAGCCCCGGAGCCAAAGTCCTGTTCAGATCCAGAACCAAAACCAGAGGCAGAGCCAGAGTCAGAGCCCCAGCCCAAGCCCCAGCCCGAGCCCCAGCCCGAGCCAGAGCCAGGGCCAGAGGCAGCCGTCGCTGGTTCCCCAGGCGAAGCGCGAGCCGCTCCCAGCTTACCGCGGCCAGGCTCTCCGCATACAGACACCAGTCCAGCGTCTGATAACAGAGGAGGGCCGCCCGATGGACTCGCTGAACTCGCCGACAGCCACTGACGGCAAGGCCCCTGCGCGCTTCCCGCCCGGCGTGGCACAGAACATGGGGCAGTCCATGTTGATGACACCCGACACGGCGGGGACACCGACAAAGAACAAGAACAAGGAATTCCCAACCACGCGCGTCCCGCCGCTGCATGATCTGAGCAGGACGGTCCCGGGGCCAACCAGCGCGGCCCAGCTGTCCCAGCACGGCCCGGGTCATACGAGCCCGCCGCTCGGCCAGGTGACGAGCGGCGTGCAGGCGACGGCGCAAATGGCGCTCTCTCACAGCTACGCGCCTTCGCCGCGAGCCCGCAGGGAGAAGGACCAGATGCTAGGAGGCTTTGCCTTCTACCCCTACGACAAGGAGCTGATCCTAGAGCGGGAGCGGTGCAGCAGGTCGGTGTGGCGCTTCAACAACGCCACGAACCCGGGCAACGGCGTCTCGCCCACGGAACGCGAGCGCCTCTTCCGCGAGATTCTGCAGCCGAGCGAGGGCGTGCAGCTGTCGCAGGCCCAGGTGTCGCCCGTGACCCACACGGGCCAGCTGGGCGCTGGCTTCATGGTCGAGGCGCCCTTCCACGCCGACTACGGCTACAACATCAAGATCTCGGACAACGTCGCCCTCGGCCGTAACTGCTCCATCCACGACGCCGGCGAGGTCACCATTGGCGCCAACACCGTCATCAGCCCCAACGTGTGCATCTACACCACGGACCTGCCCGTGGACCCCCGCCAGCGCAACGGCACCCGCGGCGAGCAGTCGGCCAGGCCCGTCCACATCGAGGAGGACGTCTGGATTGGCGCCAACGTCGTCATCCTCCCGGGCGTCAGGATCGGGGCCGGCTCCACCGTGGGTGCCGGATCTCTGGTCACCAAGGTATGCAGCACACCCTGTTTCGTGTCTGGTTCCCTAAATCTGCTCGACAACAGGTTGACTAACATTTGCCCAACAGGACCTTCCACGCCGCTCTGTATGCTACGGCCAGCCGGCAAAGGTCCGCAGACTACTTGCATAAACTATATATAAGTTCAAGACGGGGCTGCGGACCTCCCGACTTTGATCAGCTATTTGTTTTCCTCCCCCTTTTCTCTCTCTCTCTCTCACTTGATTTATCTTTTTTTTTTTTTAACCTGCGCACATGTACACTGGAAGGAGTATGTTAGCATCTTGGCCTATGGGGTGGTACTCAATGATTTCCTGTCTTTCTTTCCTATGTTTGCTGTTCATTTTCACTTGTTTGCATGATACCCATTGCGTGCACCAAAACAAGAGACCCAGACGCATTTTGTTGGCTTGTCTGCTTTATCGTTACTACGCTACTACCCCATCCTGGTCTCCTTTTCCCCCTGGCTACATACCCAGTTGATTTGTTGCGCGCGCAGTATGACGTGAGCAGGAGGAAGGGAGGACCTTAATGTTTTATCTGAAGACGGAAAAGGAGGGGGTTTGCTCTGGAAGTCCCCTCTCCTTTCCAAGGCAACGTATTATCATGTCCAAAAAAAGAAAAGCGGAACGACCGCATGGTTCATTGAGCATTGTGTATCCTGTGCCAGCAGCACTTTTACCCCCCTCCTCGCTCCCAGACGTTGACGACATTTACGCTTATGATATTTTGTTGGTTCCTATTGCGTCCTAGTCTAAACTTCACATTGCGAGAGGATTTGGCTTGGTGAATTTTGAAGGATTGGCGGTCAAAGGGCATGCACCAAGGAGTGGGCGGAAGAGGATGAGTGCCGGTTCAGCCTTGAAGTATATAAAAAGGTTTCTTGTCCATGTGTATGCCTATATATTTATGTATATATAACCCGGTTACCGTGCCGTAACCAGACCGGATCAAGTGGGGAGACCACTATCGTGCCGATGCAAGCATCAAGCCGAGGTGGAATCAGCCAGCCCCCTGCAAGATGGCCTGATCTCGAGACTGCCGACTGCCTACCAAAAAAAAAAAAACAAGCGACCTGGCCGTTTGCTGACGTGTCTGCCCTCCCCTCCTCCACCCCCGGTGGTCGGTTGGTTGGTTTGTTGGTGCAGTAGTCCCAAGGTCCAGGCCGTGATGGTCGGATCCTGCGCGTCAGCATGCACGGCGTCAGACTTGGTCTCGGGGTGGGTCGAACCGAGACGGGGATATGTTGGGGGGGCAGGTAGAGCACATTTCACACCAACCTAGGTAGGTACCTATCCACACGTTGGCAAGGCGTGGGGGGGAAAGAAGAAGAAAAAAACAGGAGAGGAAGAGATCGTGAGCCGTTGCCGAAAATAGCATCATCCAACAGGTAAACCCACGAGGGCAAAAGGGGGAAATGCCATCCACCTCGGTGACTGGACGGCCGTCTCCCGCACCGAATCCAGCAAGCGGCAGTCACCGGAACCGGGCTTGTTCCCCGTGCGCGGCTCCGTCACGGCCGCTTGGTCCTCACAGCTTCACTCCATGGACGATAGTATGTGGGCTTGTAACATGTTTTGTTCCTCTTCTTCTCCATAGCAATATTGCCTAGGTAGAGATGAGTTTGGTTGGTAGTACTGCTAACGAACACGAGATAAACACCGACAAAGACAGCCGGGCCCCCCTGAGATCCATCTAAGAGCAAGGTCACCAGATGACGCACTGCGGCGCCTTTCCCTTTTTTTTAATTTTTTTTTACCTCTTCTGCCTCTTGCTCTTGTCGCTCGTCGCCGAGAGGACGCTTGCGCTGCGCTTGTGCCTGCTCCCCGGCCGCGAGCTTGGCCGGCCGCTCCTATCCTTGTCCGCTGCGGCGGCCATCTCGTCGTCCTTGGCCGGCGGCGGCGCCGTGGGCTCGGGCGCCTTGTCCGCTGCCTCCTGGTCGCCCTTCTTCGCGTTCGCCGCGACATCGCCATTGGTAGCGGCTGCCGCGGCAGGCTCGGCGGCGGCAGAAGACTGTTCCTGCGTTTTGCCGTCTGCCGCCGCCGCCGCCGCCGCCGCCGCCTTTTCTGGCGACGCGTCGCTGTTGGCTTTGTTGCCGTCGCCTGCCGCCCCGTTGGGTGTCGCCTTCTCCCCGCCGTCCTTGTCCTCTGCCACCTCGGACAGGCCGGCCGCCTTGTCTGCCTTGCCGGCCGCCTTGGCCGCCAGCCCCTGCGCCTTGTCGCGCTCGGCCCGCCGCGCGTTCTCGATCTTGAGCTCGCCGTCGAGCTTGTCGAGCTGCTTGCGCAGGTCGACGAGCTGCGTGACCGTGTGCACGAGCTGCTCGAACTGGGACGTGACGGCGGCCGTGGGCATGGTGAGGCGGCTGGGCACGTCGAGCTCATTGAGCACGTTCGTGATGCGCTGCTGCTGCTGCCCGCTCTTGTGGTTGAAGAGCTTGTTGACCTTCTCGTACCGGAACGTCGGCCCGGACCCAAGCCGGTCGTGGTACGTGACGCCGTACACCTGCTCCTCCTGCTCCGTGAGCCGCCGCCGCTCGGGCGGCGCAGCCCCGCCCTTCTTGTTGTTGGGCTTGCTGGGCGGCTCCACGGGGGTGGCCTTCTCGACCGCGACCGACTCCCGCTGCGCCACCGCCGATGAGGCCGCGATGCTGTCGCGGCGGCTCTCGGATCCGGCCGTGGCCGGCGTGGCCGAGCCCGCCGGTGCCTGCTGCCCGTTGGGGCCTGCGCTGCCCGGGCCCGCCATGTTCGCGCCGTCCGACGCCATGAGCGACTTGCGTTTCTTCGACTTGTCGGCCGTCATCAGCGTCTTGAGGAGCGTCTCGAGGCCCTGGCTGGACTTGAAGGTGCTGATGTCGTGGTCCGAGGGCGGGAAGTCCAGGCGGCTGTAGAGCTCGCGGCGCTCCTCGTTGAAGCGCTCCTGTCTTGCGAGGATACGCTTGACCTCGAGCAGGAGCGACTCCTCCTCCCTCGCCTCTTCCTTGGATCTGGTGAGGGCGTTGGCGGCGAACTTCTTGCGCTGCGTCTCCATGTGGGGGTCGAACTTCAGCATCGTCTCGTAGAGCGAGAACTCGGGCTGCGACATGTACTGGGCGGGCTTCTGCACCGCCATCATCTTGGCCGCGACCTCGTAGTACCTGGCCTTCAGATCTTCCATGGACCGGGGCGCCGACACGGGCACGACGGCCGCGCTGTCCCCGTTTGTCGCCGGGTCGCGCGGCCGCGTGGGCGTGTACTCGTAGCGGTCCCATATCAGGGCCCAGCGCAGGTCGAAATCCCGGACCAGGTCCAGGAGGTAGTCCGTCTCCTCCTTCGTCCAGTCGTGCCGTCGTAGGTTGGAGTGGTACTGGTCATCGGTGTACTGCGGTATGTCGACGTGCACGTTGAACTTGGCAAAAGCCGAGTCCTCCAGCGGCTGCTCCGCCTTGTCCGGCTGCCCATCCTCCTGCTGTTTGTCGCCGTCGGCGCCCTCCATGGGCACGTCGCCATTCTCCCGAGTCACAGCCCTGTCACCGCCGCCGCCGCCGCCGTTTTCTTTCCTCCTCCAGTGCCGCAGGATCAGGCTGTCGTCGCACCTGGCCGAGTTCTTAAACGGCCGCAGCTCCCATCGCGACGTGGCCTTTTTTGTTGCCTGAGACCGCCGCCTCTTGAAGATGGAGATCTCTGGGATGATGGCGATTGGGTTGTCGCCGCCGAGGCTCTGCACCTCTCTCGCCAGTCCCTTGAGGTTTGTCCGCGGCGCCGTCGTCTTGGCCCTCTTCGTTGGTCGTGGTGCGGCGCCATCCTGTGGGAGGTTGAGCACGTCGCGGACGTCCAACGAGGCCATGTCGGGCGCGACGGGCGGGCCAAGTTGGCCAACAGGGTGTGGAGTTCGGCTCTAGAGTAAAAGGAATAAAAAAAAATTGGTGCTGCACGACAACGGCACCCCAAGACGGGCAATTCAATTCGTTCCAACTGGGAAAACGCGCATTACAAGCGATCTAAAAACGTATTAATACACGGAGGGAAGTCGACGAGAAGCAAGCGATTGAAGCGCAGCCGTTTCTCGGATGCGCCGACGATTTTTTCGGTTGCGTTCTGATGGAAGGGCTTTTTTCGCAGGCTGGCGACGCGCTCTGGAAAATCCAACCGTGATTTTTTTTTTCGGTTGCTTGGGCTCGATGGCGGGCGGCGGCGGCCCATTGCGGGACAAGGAGTCGGGGACTGCCAGTGGGACCCACCCCAGCACGTGACGCCCCCATAAACAGCCCCCCTGTTCGCATTTGCTTCGAACGTGGCACCTTTGGCGAGGCGCTCGGCACTTTTGACGCCAGGGCGACTTTTGGGAGGACGACAGGGAGTTGTTGATCAATTCAACCCCGACGACGACGACGACAACGACGACGACCGCGGACGAAAGCAAATCCCCATCCAGGGCCTAGAAAGAGGATCGAACCAGAAAGACGCACACGAGACAAAAGGGGCAGCGCAGCAGCCGGACACAATGAGGCCTCTCCTGTCGGTCCTGTCGCTGAGCGCCGTCGCGCAGGCGCTCTACTTCTACATCGACGGCACGGCGCCCAAGTGCTTCTTCGAGGAGCTGCCCAAGGACACGCTGGTGGTGGGCCACTACACGGCCGAGGAGTACGACGACCACCGGCAGTCGTGGTCCAAGCACGACGGGCTGGCCATTTACATTTCGGTCGACGTACGGTTTTACTCTCTCTCTACATTCCACCGCACCAGGCTTCCGGCCTAGAGCAAACAAATGGACAAAAAAAACAAAACAAAAAAAAAGAAATGCTAACAAAACCCCACGCCACAAAAAACAGGAGACGTTTGACCGCGACCACCGCGTCGTGTCGCAAAAGGGCAGCAGCGGCGGGCGCTTCACCTTCACGGCGGCCGAGTCGGGCGAGCACAAGCTCTGCTTCACGCCCTCGTCCAACAGCGGCAAGATAGGCTGGCTGTCGAGCGCGGCCCACAACGGCGGCATCCGCCTGACGCTCGACCTGGCCATCGGCGAGACGTCGGCGCTCGAGAGCAGCGACAAGGACAAGCTCGAGGACATCGCCACCCGCATCAAGGACCTGAACCTGCGCCTGCAGGACATTCGCAGGGAGCAGGTGTTCCAGAGGGTATTTACCGTCTTTTCTTTTTTTTGTTTTTTTGTCTTCTTTTTTTTTCTCTGTTCTGATTGCGTCGATAAGAGTTACTCGCTGACATTGGGTGCTATTCATAAAACAACAGGAACGAGAGGCCGAGTTCCGCGACCAGTCCGAGTCCACAAACGCCCGCGTCATCCGCTGGATCCTCATCCAGCTCACAATCCTGGGCATCACTTGCGCCTGGCAGCTCTCACATCTGAGGTCTTTCTTCATCAAGCAGAAGCTCACCTAGAACAACGATTTAACCAAAAAAAAAACAAAGGAATAAAAGGGGGCGTCCCGCGTAAGGTTGTCATGACGTTGTTGTACTATTTCCGGCTTCGGCGACGGCGGCGGCGGCAAGGATCTTGGGCAATTGAAAAGGAGCCATGTCGAATTGTGGAGTGGACAACAGTTGTATCCTTGGTGTTCGTCCGGCGAGTTCTCTCGTAATGCTGCGACTTGTCGTGTGAGATATGTTATAGTAATGAACTTCATGCCAGGACTATCTACCATCTCATCAACGTGGCCACTCCGGCAGGTGGCTTGTCTGCTCTGCTCTGGCGAGTTTCCGGACGAAAATGACGATTCAGAAGAGGGTGTGTGCTAATTCAAATGCGTAGACAAGGGACAGGAGTCGAGAATCGAGGACAGGATCATGACATGAGTCGTATTACAAGTGTCTATGAGGCCGTTTTTTTGAGTGTGTTCATCATTACCTCAATCTATCAACAAACTTGGAAAGTCCCCTACGCGCGCTGATAGCTTGCTTGAGCTCTATCGTTTGCCTCATCTCACACAAGAAATCAAAACATTCGCGAGACGTCACCAACCGACGAATGGGTTGCTGGCTTCACATGGCCGACAGGAGCCTCGCGCTCCGCTCCAAAACAAACCAACCGTTCTCTCCAACATCTGGCTATACGTATTATGAACAAGGAAGAGGAAAAGGGAAGGAGAGCCGCAAGACCCAATGCAGACAAAGCGTTCAGTGAGCGAGAAGCAAGATGAAAGAATAAACAGGACATTAAGAAGAGAGAAAAAAGAAAGAAAAAAAGGTCACCAGCGCCATGCTCGTGTTGCGCGCAACAAAATGATTAAGCAGGTTCATGTATGGCTGATCTCGGGTCATGGCCGAGGGGCATGAAAAAGGAACGACCATGGGGTGCCCGACATTTCTGTGGATACACTTGGCCGCGAGTCACGGCGCAGATGGTGTGACCTCGGTGGCACCATAACGAGCCACAAGAAAAGGCAGCCGTCCTTGTCCTTCCTTCCCGTGTGCCGCGATTAGAAAGGGACAGAGTCCGGCAAAGAGGCCCAGGCCAGGTGTATGCCAAAACATCTCCACGATGATTCGACAAGATGGGGCGAGAGGGGCAACGGGCCACGAAAGGGGATTCGCTGTCTCGATGGTGTGGCAGATGTGGGTTGGCGACGAGTGCTCGGGCTGTACGGGGCAGCAGGATGAAGGGCGGACAGATGTGTGTGACCGTTGTATCGAAACGGGGGAGCCTAGCGAGCAGGACAAGACGGTGAAGGAAAACATGCACAATGGGGACAGGTTCCGGGTGGTCTAGCTGCCCGCTCCCAAGAGCAGAGAAGCGCACTACCAAGCAACAGCGAGGCTCCCCTGTGGAACGATTGCCTCCCCGGCTGGGCGATGAAGAAGAAAATGAGAAGATGGAAAGCCGGGCCGTACGGGTGCTCAACAAGACGCAGAGGACGCGTCTAGCCACAGCAGATGGTCTTCATGAACTTCTGGAAGCCCGTCGGTTGTTGCTCGGCAGGGCGGCTGTTAGAGGCCTGTGGCGGCGTCATGTTGTGCTGCTGCTGGTGCATCGGCCTCTGCGGTAGGTTCTGTGTGCTGTTCTGGAACTGCGCCTGAGTCGAGCCTGCTGGCGTAGCCATATCCCGGAGACCCCCTGCTCCGCTCCCCCTCTGGGCCATGATCGCGGCGGGGGCGTTTTGCCGACCTTTCCCAGGATTCTGCTTGATTGGTGAAGGAGGCGGGGGTTGCGCGGCGTTTAAACGGTCGACCGTGAGGCGTGCGCGAGGGTCGGTTCCGTGGGTACCGCCGCCGTTGCGCGAGTTTGCGTGAATCTCCATGTTGGAGGCTCCAGGACGAGCGTTGGGGTTGTGCATCGCTTGCCTGTCCCAATCGCTCTTCTTGTCCTTGCCAACCTTCATCCAATCGTACTCGCCATCCTCCACTCCACCCGCCTCCTTGAGCGCCTGCGTGAAGAGCTCTCGCAGGTAGTCGTAGTCAGGCGTGTCCTCGAAACCAAGGTTGCGAACGTACGTGAGATACTTCTCAAATTGCACGGGGAAGCCTTCGCAGAGATCCTTGATGACAGTGGTCTGCTTCTTCTCGCCGATCTTCTCGTACTTTTGCTTGTTGGTGGCCGCCTTCAGACCCTGCCAGGGAAGGCCGCCTCGGAGGAAGTACATAAACACATGGCCCAGTGCCTCGAGATCGTCTCGTCGGGATTGTTCGCGGCCAAGATGGGTGTTGATGCTCATGTACCTGGCGGTGCCGGATAGAGACTTACGCTCCCGGTAAGGAATGTGCTGCTTCGTCTTCGGGTCGCGGTACTGTTTGGCCATGCCAAAGTCGACAACGTGGATAACATTGGCCGTCTTAGTGCCGGGCCGTCCGATGAGAAAGTTGTCGGGCTTGATATCGCGGTAGATTAAGTTCTTCTCGTGAATCGTCTGGACACGGGACAGCTGTGCAGAGAGCGAGGTCAGCATAACGAGGCACGACGATTGTTGTCAGGGTAGCCTACCATCTGCTTGGCAACCATGACAACGGTCTTGATGGTGAATCGGCGGTTGCAGTGGTCGAAGAGGTCTTCCAGAGACGGGCCAAGCAGGTCGATGACCAGTATGTTGTGCAGACCCTCCTGGCCAAAGTAGTAGACATTAGGGATGCCGGCTGTAGTGCAAAGGTAATTGTCAGATGCCGTCATGAAAGGGCCCCTGGTCTCGAGTTCAGTGCCCGAGAGTCGACTTACGGCAGCCAACCAATATCTTGTACGTCCGGTACTCGTCGCGAAGCTGAGGAGCATCGCTCTTCCTTGGCTCCTGCACACAGCCGAGCGGCCAGGTTAGCTCTGCTTCTCAACGCGACGGCCAAGGCCTCGAGCGCGGCGACATCAACTCACAAACTTGATGGCCACCTGCTGGTTGTTGAGCAGGTTTGTGCCCTCAAAGATGACACCGAATGAGCCCTCGCCAATCTTCTTGCCGACGCGGTAGTGCACGCCGACGACGTTGGAAGATGAGGACGCCATGCTGAACGGGGAGACGTGGCCCGCTGCCGGACGCGGAAACGCCTACAAAATTAACGACTGTGGGAGCGAAGCAAGACGACGACAAAAAAAAAAAACGGCTCGGTTCAGCGGTCGTGAAATGAGAGTGACGCGTGTGCCAGGAAGGAGTGCGGCAGGAGAGGTGCGTCGGCGGTATTGTCGTGTTCTACAGCAGGTACGGTTCAAGGATGTCAGTGGCGGTGAATGACTGGGAGCCAAACAAGGTCGCACTTTGCTGCGGCGGGTGGTGGCAGCCCCGAGCGTGGATGAGTAAGGCGGGATCGGCGTGACCCAGAAACGAGGGAGCGAAAAGGCAAACGGGCTGCAGATGGCGCGTGGGGACGGGCTAGAGTAGAAGGATGCAAGGCCGGCCGACGAGGTTGTTGTGCAGGTGGCGAGCGCGCCCCAAACAACTCAATCCGGGCCAAAAAGACCAACGCCCAGCTGGGGAATAAAACACACTAACCTCGACAATGGGACGATGGCAGAGGCGAGGCTCCGTCTCGGGTGAAGACGCGAATCGACGGTCGGTCGGGAGTGGTGTTGCCTAGTTGAGGGAGCCCGACGCCTAGGTAACCGTCTGTTTCTCCAAGGTCTCCCCGTTTTCTCTTGCAAGCCACCGAAAGCCTCGCAGAGAGAATGCGGAATAAAGGGGGCGACGGCTGGGGCGGGTAGCGATTGAATGGCCGATGCACGAGGAACGCCGAGTGACCAGTCGAGGTAGCAAGACGTCACTGAATTGCCCTCTCTACGACCGCGATGCAGGGCTCGCAAGTCTGGTCAAATGGAGAAGGCACCGTACGGCGGGAGGTAGGGTGGTGTCGGGTTGGGAGCGAGCGGGAAGGAAAGAAGAAAAAAAAAAAAAAGAAGCGGGAAGAGAAAAGGGAGGTTGCAGGAGTCGCAGCGGGCAAGAGAAACCCCCCCCCCCCCCAGCAGGCACAGCAGCAAGCAGTTCAGCACGCACCAGTATGTGGCAGCCGGCAGCACAGCAACACACACCAGACATTAAACACCCCGGGGGCCTGGCTCTGGAACTGGGCCACACACGAGGGCCGATGGAGACCAAGGCCCCGACGTCTGATTGATTTGATTTGACCAGCCCTGCTGGGGGGGGCGTGTTGTGAGCCGACCGACAACGCCGTGGGTCTCTCTCCACGGTCGCCCGGCCCCCTGCGTGCTCTCTCCCCTGGCAGGCCTTTTGTTTTTCTATCCGTACTGCTGCTTGCTTGGTGGTCAATTGCTCTACTCTGCGCGCTTGCTTACTGCTATCGCCTCCGTCCTACTGTCAAAGAACACCCCCAATTCTGGTCGCGGGTTCCTCTCCACTCCAGCAGCACAAGATTGAAAAAGCACCCCATCGTCCCGCCCCAGATCCCTTAGCAACAGCTCCATTCCCAGCTCGTGCATGTCGGGGCGGGCCAACAGGGGGAGTCCCATCAGCACAGCGAGAGAGGCGCGGGCAGGTCCCCATTCTTTTTGTTCTGGTCAGTCGGTTCCCTATCAGCCGCCTCAACTCTCATTTGGGGAGCTTGCATGTCGCCTCCTCCGCCTGCGCCTTGGTCTGCAAACCGTCAACTGTCAAAAGCAACGGCACAACCACAGCCCCCTTTTTCCCGTACTTCCGTCTTCTCTGCTCTCTTCTTTACTATCAACGGCTTTTCCGCCTCGTTGTAAATTTTAGACCTTTTTGCCAAACCGTAGCACAGCACACATCACACCGCCCCAATTGCCCGACCTGTCCTTCCTCTCTCTTCCCTGGCCGGCTCCCTCGTCCCGAATGTCTTGCTACCCCCCATGTCTGCTGACCGTGAATAAAGTAGGGGACCCAAGCCCCCAAGTCGAGAAAGCACGGGCTCCTAGCAGGCAGCTAGCCGAACTCTAGGCCGACCGATTGGGGAAAAGAGAAAGAAAAACCCGCAGCGGGCATGCACGCGATGCGAAATGCAGGCAAAAGAGAAGAGAGATGCACAAAATGGATCAGAGGAGGGATCTTGTTAGATTGAATGTCTGGGTGCCCGACCCGGCCTGGGTAGCCGCCATGGGCCTCTCCTCTCCCCCCCTGGTTTGGTGCAAATTTCATGGGGAAAGCAAGGTCGATGGCCCCAGATCCTCTCCGAGTACCACACCGCAATAACAGATGGTTTTGCCAGCCGAATGAAGTCCATTCTGTCTTGAATGTACCATAGCCGGGCATTGATGGATTGAGATTTGGCTTCTTGCTCCCTGTGATTTCAGCAGCACCAGGAACCAGCTGAGCTGCAACGATAAAGCAAGAAAATGCAAGATCCAGTCACGCCTCGAAATAGCCCGTAATTCGACCCGCGTCTCTGCTGACTCTCGCCTCGGACGCCAATTCCTTTCTGTTTACTATGCAGTTTTTTTTTTTGCCTCCTTTCATCTCTAGTAGCCCCCCGGCCTTTTGCTCGCCCTCTCGCCAGCCAACCACCGCTAGCGGCCGCGCCGTGTCCCCACGCCAGACCCAGTCAGATGCTCCCCCAGGCGCGCGAGACCAGACCAGGGATGATGCGGCGGCAGTAGAAGCGGACAAGCGCCTGTGTGAGGAAGAGGAGAAAGCAGCCGACCCGTGCTTTTTCTTGTTTTTTCCTTCCTTCTGCCTCCTGCAGAGCCAAGCCTTCGCACATGTCAAGCCGCGCCCGTTCAACTATTAGCCGCCCAGTCGCCACTCCCGAGTCGAACCCGACTAGAGATGGCCCGACGTTTGAATGACTTGCCCCGACTTGAGCACGACGCCCAGCCAGCATGGGGGGGATGGGGAAGAAGGGAGGAAGCAAGCACTCAAAGGCCCACCACCGCATCATGTGCATGTTTGTTTGTTTTGGTTGGTTTGCGAAATGTCCGAGCCTTCTGGCCAAGAAGGACTCGTGAGCGCTGCACGGCTCCGCCTGGGAGATGCAGATGCAGATGCAGACGCAGTGCAGGACAAGCCCCTCTCACTGTCTGACAACGATTCATTCTCCTCCTTCTCCACCACCAGCGCCGCCCGTCCACTTGCCGTACCTACCCGTCGGCCAGCCAGCCCGGTGTTGTTGTGAACCGCTTGATGGGGATTCTAACAAGGCATCCAGAGGCTAAACCTTCCCGCAGCACGGCCGTTGCCGCGCCTGTCCTGAACCTTCAACTGTTGGAGGCAGCCCGGACCCGAATATGGGAAAGCTTTGGTCCAATCAAGCATCAAGGTTCCTATTATTTTGTGGCGTTCTCCGGGCTCCCTGGCACAAAAAGCTGGTTGTTTCATGGCGGCATCGACACGACCTTGTGCCAGGGAACGAACCATGGAAAGCATGCGAGAGAGAGAGGAGAGATGGGCGAAGCGTCGTGCAGCTAGCAATCCGAACAGGCAACCCCAGAGGACCCTGACAGCCAATCCGGCAGTGCGAACCAAGCTTTCCCCTTCCTGTTGAAATCCTCCCATATCCAATCCCCCCCCCTGCCAGTCAGGTTTGCGCGTCACAGACACGGACACACGCGCACATCAGCCATATGCACACACAAGGGCCCCCCAAAGTCGCCATCAGTCCGTCGTCTGCCTGTCCGTTCACCTGTCTCCTGGTCCTGGCGCGGGCGCGGCCGGTAGGCGAAAAGAAGAAGTAGAAGAAAGTGGCGCGATTCAATGTCCGTTGCCAACGCCTCGTCAATGCCCATCCGCCTTTCACCCCTCGCTGGCGAAATGTCTCGTTGCCGCTAGCGAAATGCCCTCCCCCAAAAGTAGTCCGCCCCACCCAGCCCCAAGCCCCAAGGGGAGAAGAGAGGAAACGCCAAAGAGAAAGAAGCAAAAGAAAGACATAAAAAGCCGCAGTTGGGCACACAAAACGTACATCAAGTGACGGTTAGTCTGACGGACCGAGCGCCTCCCCAAGCTGGCTGGTGGCTTCTCCTTGTCCTCGCTTGTCCTCGCTTGTCCAACACCATCCATCGCGTGTCCGCTCCCCTTTTTTCTTTTTTTGTCTCTTCCATCACCCCGTATCGGAAACGTGAGGAATCTCCGGTCCCCATTCGTTCCCGTCACCCATTAGCGCCTATCATTCTAGATGCCAGCCTACAACCACCACCACCCCCTAGCTGGTCTCGCCGATCCCGCCCGTCAGACAGACAGTCGGCCTCGATTCGCCACTCACCAGGCTGCCGCTCGTGCTGGGTAGCGGGTGGCAAGGGGTCGGTGGGCTGGTGTGTGGCACAACCTCCTCAGACTGGTTCTTCGCCAGCCGGTTCAGCTACGATGCCACGGTGCCACGGCGATGGGGTTTCCCGCGGCCACACATGAGACTGCCTAGCTTCGTTGATGTCTAAGCGGTTACGCCCACATCAAAATCTTCAAGACGCTTAACTGCTAGTTTTTCCCACTGCCAAAGTCGATTCCATCCAGGCTGCTTAAAAACTCGCCAAGAAGAGATGGGGAAACTCCCTTTTTTTACGACCCTGATTAATGTTCAGGCTAAGGGTTCAAGCAATGCAGAGAGCGAAATGGCTGTATCGGCTGTCGTGATGGATGGTTTTTAGAAGTTTGGGTAATAGTTGGCAACTAAACATCTCAACAGGTTCGACAAACAACGTTGATATTCGACTGGAACGAGAAGCAACCGCGCAATGACATCAAGCAACAATCAAAAATACAATGTATCGCAAGAAAGGCGAAAAAAAGGATTTAAAGGAAATCTTCGTCACGGGAACGCAACGTGCCCTGAATACAGACAAATGAGATTATATGTACAGTCCGTGTAGAAGGCCCCAACCTCCATCGAAATACCTCGCATCACAAGTCCGGCCCTATAACGCCAACGTATCCATCCGCCTCAACATGTGCCCCCAATGCCCTTTGTTTGCTTTCCGACAATCTCCATGCATACGCACCTGTCACCAGCGCCGGGAAGGCTACGGTGACAAACATTACTTCCGCAGCTCCCTTTACGTCCCCAGCATAGTCTCATCTAATCTACTACCCACTGCCATTGAGGAAAGGCGGCGGGCTCGAGCTGCTGCCGTTGCCGCGCGACCTGGCACTGCCGTTGGCAAGGGCGGCGCCCTCCTCCGTCCTCCTGTCAAGATCCTCCTGCACCATCCGCCTAGACTCGTCGAATGCCGTTTGGTACCAGTGGTCCATCCTCGACGTCATGATGTATTTGGAGAGCTCGGCGTCTTCGGCGTTCATGGCGTCTAGAAGCTTGCGCTTCAATGAGTCGTCCATGCCGTCGAATCGATTATCCAGGCTCTCCGTGTACACGCCAAGCGCCTCGGACGGCGTGACAAGGGGGTCAAACTTTTGCTCGCCATGATACTCTGCAAGTCTCGTCAGTGCCTTGGCCTCAAACGATAAGGTGTTGGGGTCACACATATACAACTTACTGTAATCATGACAGGCGTAGAGCGTCAGATACAGCGACGTCTCGCTGAGCGTACGGCTCATGGCGCCGTCATCCTTGAACTGGGTGTCGTTGATGCGTGACCACTTGTCACGGATGAAGCACCGCCTCCAGATGACACGGTTCGCCTTCTTTACTTCCTCTCCCCGCAGACTAAGGTGCGCCACACGCAGAGCACAGAAGAAGAGGTCGTCCAACACGTCGAACCCGGGAACTGTTGGGTCAACCTTGATGGATACCAGTGTGAGCAGGTCAATCAGGGTCAGAGGCTCCAAAGCCTCATGCCGAAGCAGGCGGGCCATGGCATCCTCGAAGACGTGGAGGAGGGCTTTGTGCTTCTTCAGCATGTTGCCGGCGTGGTATTCCAGTGCAAGTTCGAGTTCGGCAGCCTCGTCCACAGCGAGGCTGACCGCCGGCAGAATGATGTTGTAGAGCTTGTCCTGGATCTTGATGATGGCTAGCTCTCGGTCGATGGTCCGCAGTCCCGCAGCGGACCTGTCGCCGCGACCATCGCGAGCAACCACCAGCTGGTTGCGCGCCGGCTCGTCACTCGACACGGATACTCCTTCGGCAAGCAACGCCAGCTTGCCCAAGCTCAGCTCGATCTTCTTGTTCCAGACCTGTTGCTCACGGTTGAGCCCCAGTTCGATCAGCGTCTCGGCTGCATGGCTGATGTCCTTCTCCTGCTCAACGTCGTTGATCCATGAGATCTTGGACAACTCGGGCTTGGTCCTCAGGAATTTGGTGGCATAGCCCTTCCGGTTACCGGGGAAGTCCAGGACCGCCTTGACACCCTCCTCACGGAGGAGAATTTCATAGACGGCGAATGCGAACTCGTCACCATAGCGTTCAAAGGACTCGGCAATCTCGTGCTGTCTGACACGTGCCCGCTCCCTGAGGTGCATAACCCTGCTCGGTGGCTGCTCGCGGTCGAGCGCCCGCTGGCGCAGGTTCTTGACTTCCTCCACCATAATCTCGGCTAGTGCTGCGATCGAATCATGATTCTCGGCCACCTCGATAGCCTGATTCCACAGGCCATAGTCCTTGAGCTTCACGGCCTTCTCGTACCGGTCATCGAGATACGTCTTCCGGCAGACCTCTCCATAGCGGAGGGTGCTCTGGTCGGTGCGCGTCTGGGCCCAGCGAGAATGCTCGAGCAGGGTGGTCAGGTACTTGTCGGTGAGTGAAGGTAGGCGCCCTCGGATCGACTCTATCAGGCCCGGGTCAGGCTGCCCCGCCGCGAGGTCAGCCTGTGGCGGATAATACGTCTTGAGCCACTTGTGCGCAAGCTCGATCAGCCTCTTAGCGTTGTTCGTGATGTAGTATGTCGATGTCCAAGGAACTGTCGGCAGCCCCTCGTAGCCCGTGACAAGCACTCCGTTCTCCAACTTATCGTCCTGGAGTCCATAGAACGACAGCTTCCCCTTCCGATACTCGAACGCGCCCTTGAGCGCCTCGTACTGGACCTGCATGGCCTCGTACAGTAGGCGGGTCATAGCGGTATCGTTGGCGACTTGGCGGGTGTACATATACTTGATGACTTCATATGCCCAGGCCACAAACAGCTCCAGGCGCCAGATGTCGTGGGTAAACCAGTGCCTCACACGGTCCAGTTCACCTTTGTTCTGGTTCGGCACCTTCTTCTCGTCCTCGTGGATATACTCCACAATCTCCGAGACGACGCTCTTCTTGTCCGCTGTTGCACGATCGGAGAGGAACTGCTCATGTTGCTTCCAGATTCGCGATGCCACGCTCATCTTCTCAGCGTTCCAGAGCAGGGCCCACCGTGTCTCGCGATCGAGGTCAACTTTGAGCGCGTTCAAGTAGGTCATCAGTCGGTCTAGGTAGCTGCCCCGGGTTCGAAGGTTCCCCTCGAGCAGAGCTGGGACGTGAAGGAGATACGGCGACTCGGAACTCAGGATCTCCTGGCTCAGCTGCAAAGCTGCATCGCCAATGTCTTTGCTGGAAAATGGAAGAGCCCGCTTGCCGTCGAAGGCGAGCGGGTTGTCGTCCTTGATGCCAAAGAACACGGCCTGCTCGAGCTTGCTCTTCGGGGTGATCCGAGGTGTGGCGTCGCCGGAGAATCGATCGATATCGGTGGTTGCAACCCGAACAACACCCACTCCTCGAACCATGAGGAGTGTGCCTGGGTTCTTGATTTTTTGCCGATGTGTCCGAAGGCCCTCGACCTCCTGCCCAATGATGTTAGGTTCCTCGACCCCAGAGCCCGTGATTTCCAGGGCGTCCTGGTCTCGTAGATCGATAACGTCCTCGAAGGATGCGGAGTTCGTTGGCAGACCGGGTGCCTCCAGGCGAGCGGCTAGGGACGCGATGATGACTGCTCGGTCAAAGACGATGAAGGCTACACGGCCGGGCTGCGGCAGGTATAGCCGCGGGCGAACGGTGGAATCTTTGGATATCGAACTCGAGTAGCAAGTAAGAGGGCGAAGGGCCCCGATCTTGACGCTGTACCGCTCCATAGCTGCCTCTACCAACGCATACGAGCGCTCAAGACCCCCATCGTAGGTAACAAGAAGCCACAGGCTGTGGGCCGAGTCGGTCTGGCCAAACCCACCCAGAACATGCTCCCCACCGTTGGGTGAGAACGCCACATCAAGCAACTCGAAGTCCTCGGGGGACGAGTCGGCCGACGGAGAGCCGCGGGCTCGGAGGGCAGCGATAACCGAGTCACGGACGTCAACCTCGGAAAGCACATCGTGATGGCCACCCCTTTGTACCCTCCAGGCGGTAATCTTTCCCCGGCTGGTCGCAGCGACGACATTGCGCTCCCCTGCCTTCGTAGGAGGACCTGTCCGGACCGTGGCGATGTCTCCCTTAGTAGCAGAGGCTTTGAGAACATGGCGGATACTGCCGAGGAAACCACCAGTTGTCTGTGCCAGACCGCTGCGGAGGAACTGCACGGATATCGTCGGGCGGCCGTGACTATCCCTCACACTCAGATGCGCCATCCGTCCACTGCTGAAAGCCAGGATGAATCCTGCAGTCTCGGCGCTGACAAGCTGGATGACATGCTCGCCGGAGAACATTCCGGGAATAGAATCCTCGATTCCGTTGCGCTGTTGTCGCATAAAAGTCAAGGTGGCTGCGCTCGCTATGGATTCCCAGTACGAGATCTTTCCGCTCACGGGCATGACGACAATGAGGCCAGGCTCGTCGGAAGCCGCAGAGGGTGCTACCAAAGAGCCGAGGGGAAGTGGGTCGGACGCGTGGCGCGAAGGATGGTCGAGGTTGAAGACGAATGTTTCTGGCGAGGTCGTGTTGATCGTGTAGGGCCAGACGAATACCTGGGTATGCGTCAGGCATAGTGCGTGGCCAGTCGCCGAGTACAGTGTGCCATGTTGTCGACCTGTGCATGGTTAGGAGGGCGGCAATCATCGCCAACGAGCATGGAGTTGGGCGCGACTTACTGCTAGCCTCATTTACCCGGATCTTGTCTGGTAAGGCTGGAAGTTTGCTGACAGTGTACGCATTGTTCGTGGTCTAGGGGCGCGATATGACGCGTTAGCTTTCATCGTGGTAGGAAAAGAGCGATGGATCAAACGAAGGTTGATGGGATTCATGAGGAGGCACATGACAGCAGCAGGACGAAAAACTAACCAAGACAACGCTCCCATCTCCTTTGCTGACGCGCTCGCCCGGCTTGGGCTTTTTGGAGCGAACGCTGAGGTCTTGCTTCGGGGCGGGTGTGATTTCGCGGGGACGCTCGTGTTTAACGGGCAGTTTCGCGAGTTTTTCGGCCTTGACCTCGTACATCTCGGGTGGTGCATCGGGGGTTTGGAAGGTTTGCTCGCTGAGGGGAAGTCGCTGTCGCTTCGCTTTTGGCTGTAGCATTAGGTTCTCGGAGCTGAGTGGGCGCTGGCGACGGCGACTCTTCATCGCGGCGCCATGGCCGCTGTCGACAACGGCGGGCGAAAACATGGTGACGATGATGCTGCGGTCGGTCGGGAAGCGAGGTGCCGGGAAAAGATGGTCGCGATGCGGCTGCTGTGTTGCACGCAAAAGGAAAAAGAAATGGCGATACGTTGATGTTTCAATTCATGGCCGCTTGCGATTCGCGTTTGGAAGATGGAATGAGGAAAGAAATGGGTCAGGCGATGATGGAGAAAAATGCCGCCCTAACAATTACGATGGCTCCATGGACTTGTTGATGCTGCTCGCCAGGCTTTTTTTCTTTTGGTGACGACGTCTGCCGTGTTGGTTGATCAGGCCTTGTTGACTTTGGTCAAAAAAATTACAGCAAGCAACTGGCTCGGAAACGACACGGAGTGATTGGCCACTACGACGCTGGGTGTGGGGCGAGACTGCCGCATGGAGCGCACAGACTGCGATGTTCGTCGTCGCGTGGAAAGGAATGGATCCAGAGAAATGGATCAAGTAAATGGGTCCAAGCTCGGTGCATGGAATTCACGATATCTCACCTTGCCGTCATGCGTCGCCTGGAGAAGTTCATGATGTTTTTCTCAGAACTGCCAGGACCAAGAGTGTGGCTTCCAAGTGCAGCCCCCTTGGTTTGCATGGGATGCCGGGCTTCGATTTGAGGCGACCTAATTGTATGCACCCCAGACACCATATCTAGCGTGCTTAGCTAACCTGCCATCAAGAAAGCGGGCAACCATCTGAGCGAATGGGGAGGTCCTTTAGTGGAGCCGGCACGCCCGGCACACAAGGAAAGTCCCCACGCAAACGATGATGGTGCTTAGATAATGCCGCGTAAGGCATCGACGATGACCTTGCAGCTGATGAGGACAAATAACAAGCAGCAACCACCAAAGTCCCAACCAAGCAGGATCCATTGTGCAAGCTATTATGCACAAGACACAGGTCCCATACAAAATATGACTCTTTTGGTCTCGGTGTTTCACCAATATTACTCACACTTGAGGCGTCGTGTATGCAGCCCCGCACCACACAATATACCTACCTTAGGCACCTACTGGTATATTGTATAGGTTATGATCCCGCGGTCTGATTTCTATTGAACAATATGAGCCAACCAATGTTAGTCACTCTAACCTCTACCTTTTGCATGACATGGAACGCCATAGTAGTACGCAGAAATGCATTCCAGTGACCAATCAATGGAATGTGGTGCCCCAAAGGCTGCGCTGGTCAAGCCCAGAGGCTATGGAGGTCCCCTTGTGGCTCTAGTAGTTGGGTCATAGAGTGAAAACGTCGGGGCTGTGATGAATTGATCGAGACAACCAAGCGCGTCCCTTGCCCAGATATTCACGGGCGAGTTTTGACATGGCTGGGCTATTTGCAGTTTTGATCACAGCCATGACCAAGCCGGAAACGTAGCACTGGCATGGAGACCCAAGCGAGGCTGTGCTGTGCCGTGGCACCCGACAAGACGAGAAGGGATCGCTGGGGACAGTTCGGTGACGCCCGTTCGGCAACTGCGGAGTGAGAGACTGGTTGCCTGGCTGATGCCAAGGTGGCTCATTGAGTGTCCTTTGCATATTGTTGCAGCTTTGAGGGATGATCCAGGGAAACCACCTATTTGACAGTACCTATCTACCTATGTAGAATGTGCTGGAAAATTCCAAGCCCTCAATGTGTCGAAACAGTAGCCTGCCCTAAAACTAAGGGATGATCGGATGTAAGTGGTACTCACCAGCAGATCAACATACATTCAGTTTGTGCACAACATCTGGGCAGGGATCCTGCTGGTTTTAACTGACAGACGCGCACACGCGCTGCATTCAGGGCGCCACCCCGCCTGCGCGAGGGATAACAAATGTGCATCAGCGACATAGACACCACGTAGCCTGGGCACTTTCTACCATCCAGCGCATCTCTCTGCTCATCGCACATGCCGCCTCCTGGCAGGACGCGACGCCAATTGATGAGTTCCGCGCGCTCTCCATCCTGGGAGTGGCTGCAGACCTGCTGATTGATGGAGTGGGCTGTGAAACCCCGCTGCCCAGGCGGCCAGCGTGTAGGAAGCCAACCCGCGCGCCAACGTGCTAATTGCCGCCAGACTCACTGTCTTGGAGGTCGAGGATGTGACCCACACCCCAGAAAAAGTTAAGGAAAACGCCAAGCGAGGGTTGCAGGATGCCGCATTCTGTGACGGTACGGAGTATTGCCATGGAAGAAATGACCTGTGAGCTGACAAGGCCAGTACTGGCTATCTACACAAGGAACATGTGTGCTAACGGAAACGCCAGTGCCGTAGGGCAGAGATGAGGCCCTCAGCTATGGTCAGCGGCGGCCTCGACCCCTCACTTCTTGCTTGCTGAGCAAACAGATTGGCTGCAGCAAAGCACGGTATTCCGAGTGCGAAAAACAGGCTGGCGAAAAGGGCAAACGAAAAAAAAAAGTAATAAAATAGAAAAAAAGAAAGATGACTGCACAGCCTAGTGACCACCAGTCGAGCTGGCGCCTCAGGGTTCCGATGCATCATTCTTTTGCAGCTCCACCCACGCCAGCCCAAGCACCCTCCCTTCTGCAGCGGTGCTTTATGCGTCTGTCCATTTGCGAACAATTGCAAACTCTCCTGAAATATTCCGCTGCTCAAAACCCAACCTCAACACCACCTTGCCCACCACAACCACCTAGAACCTAACCTAGCCTAAGCAAAATCCCCCAACTCTATCACCAGCACTTCCCTACGCCTTCATCGAACCCGTCATTCGCCTTTCCTGCCCATCCAAACCGCTCGTCAATATCATCCGTCCAAGTAGCAGCGCGTCTTTTCTGGGAGCGTGGCCGCAACGTAAAGGTAGATGGCCTTCTTCGAGGCGACTTCGCTCGGTCGCGGCGGAATGCACGCAGATCCCTTCAGCCAGAGCCAGCAGGCACCAGCGCCGCCGCCCGGCTTTGGACAGCACGCCTCGTCTCCGTCGGTCAACAGCCTCCATGGCCGCTTGGTACATAGGCCGCATTCGGAGAACAGTCCGCCGTCGGCCGACTTTCTGTCTCTTGTAACTCAGCAAGCCAGTACAACCCCCTCAACCGTTACTGCCCCGGCCGCGCCCATGGGTCCCCTCGCTGAGCCGCCCAGCGTCGACTTTCAGGCCCAGCTCCAGGAGTTCCGCGAGAGCGACCGCCGCCGCGACGATCTCGTCTCCAGGCTGTACCGCAACTATCAGGAACTCAGCGCCGCCTACCAGCAAAAATGCGTCGACTATGAACAGGAGCGCAGGTCGCTCAATATGTGGCAGCGCGAACGCGACCGACTGGCCAGCGAGTTGGACGAGCTTAAGCTGGCAAATGTGCGTGCATCAAGAGAAGCTGACTGACTGCCTGCCCATCTGCCCCCCTGCCTGACTACATGTCCACCTTCCTACCTGCCTATCTGCCTCCCTCCCTGCCTACCTTCCTGCCTGCCTGCCTGCCTGCCTGCCTGCCTGCCTACCTGCCTGCCTACCTGCCTGCCTCCATATCTACATACCCACCCACACACCTACCAAATCAGTCGACTGCTGCCCCTCCAGCGCCACGATGTGGTGGCCCCTCTAAGCACCATGAACACGTATACTGATACCAATAACTTTAGGAATCTAATCCATTGGTCTTTGTTATTATCGATGGTGATGGTGCCATTTTCCGAGACGATCTACTCTCGAGGGGCACTGACGGAGGCACTGATGCCGCCTTTGAACTTCTCACGCAAATCAGGGAGCACGTTAAATCCATCTATCCCGGAGTCAAGGTCGAGGATTGGAACATCATGGTTCAGATTGTCATTAGTCTTGAGGGTCAGGCCAGGACGCTTCATGCTGCCGGCATCGTCCAAGACGGGTATAGAGACTTGAATGCCTTCGCGCACGCCTTCGGCCAGGCCCAGTGTATGTGCCCGACCAGCTTCCCATCCCCTCTCCCCTGCTCCCCTCATCGTGCCGCACGTCTGCCGTGCCGTTCTGACCACCCTCGCAGCGCTTTTCTCCTTTGTTGATGTTGGCCTTGGAAAGGAGCGTGCCGACCACAAAATCCGGGAGACCATGCGTGTTATGGTTCGGCTGCCGCAGTGCAAGCTTGTCCTGTTTGGCCCCTGTGCCGACAACGGATATTTGCCTTTCTTGGAGCCCTACAAGCGAGAGTTCGGTCATAAGCTTTCGTTGCTCGAAACCACCCCGCCTTTGCCGGGCTTCATTCAGCTGGGCTTGCGCCGCGCCAAGTTCCCGAGCGTCTTCCGTTCCGAGTCGATTGTGCGGCCCTCGTTTGGGGGGTCCATGGGCAACTCCGTGCCGCTGATGCGCAATGGCTCCATACCACAGAACGCCGCCAACTCGACCCATATGCCGCCGCCGCCGTATCAGCAGCAGCAGCAGAGTCAGCTCTCGATGGCGTCACCCAAACCGAAGATGGCTGAGACGAATGGCGGCGCTGCTCTGAATGGGCATCAACCGCCACCCAAGACGGCATCGGCGCCGCCGCAGCCTGCGCCGGCCGCGGCACCAGCTAACTCGAGCTACGCGACGGCCAGCACCAAGCCCCCCGCTGCAATAGTGTCCAGGTCGTTCGACATTACGCCAAAGAAGCCGGCGCCGGCACCCAAGCACTATTACGTCAACGCGTCGTCGGAGCGTGTTGACGAGGATCTGCCGCGCGTGGCCCCCATCGCTGAGAAGCGTTACATGGAAAAGAAGAAGGAAAACGGGCGGAACTTTTGTAATAATTACCACCTGTTGGGCTACTGCGAGGACGAAGACTACTGCAAATACGAGCACGGCGACCGTCTGTCCCCGCAGGAGCTTCTCGTCCAGAAGCTCCGTGCCCGTGGCACCTACTGCGACAACGGCATCGGCTGTGACGACTTTGACTGCTACTATTCGCATCACTGTCGCTACGGTCGCGACTGTGGCATGGGCCACAAGTGCAAGTTCAACGACACCCACCACATGGACCTGGTATGTCTCTTGTTTTCCCATATTAGGCTTGTGCACCAATGACTAACCATATCTCGTTTCGTCACGGCAACAGCGCAAGGTGGCGAAGATCTACTCGGACGGGACCAAGGACCTACTATCCTAAAACACAATCGATGACCCATCTCAAACGCCAACGGCTACCATGGCGAAAATCATGGGTACCGTCAACACGGATCAATATTATAGTTAACTAGAAGCGATGGGCCCAAAGCACTTGGGTCAGGGATCATGGCTGTTTATCACTTTATTTTCCATCTCACAGCCATTGCAACCCATTTGCGGGCGTCAAAGGAGCTGGAGTATTTCTTTTGCCATTTCTTTTGTCTCTGTATGGCAATTCTTTTGGCTTGTTTCGAGGATGTTTGGCGACGATTGACGTTTGAGATTGGGGAGATCATGGGACAGTGGTGAGGAGGGATGACCTTGGCGCAGCCAGAGAAGAGGAAACGGCGGTCAATGGAGAGAGAAAAAGAAAAAGGATGAAAAAAAGATAAAAAAAAAAAAAAAAGGAAAAAAAAGGGGGGTAGAGTTGCGAAAAGGACCATCCCTTTGCTCTGGCTCGAAATTTTGCAAAGCGGATCGAGTTTGGCGGTGGATGCTTTCAGTTTGTTACCCAGGGGGACAGCAGGATGTGAGCGCTGTGTACAAAGGCCCCCGGGCGGCATGACCACCTGTCACCCCGGGATACAAACCGTTGTCAATATCAAAACAAGTCCTTTTCGCAAACCGTCGACTCTGCATATCGTGACCTGAACCTAGGCTGTAATACCTCTTGCTTGACCTCTCGTGCCTTTTCTTGCTGGGTTCACTGACCGCGACATAGACTCACGGGACGATGGAGGAAGGGAAGGGAGGAGACGACAAAAGCAGCAGTGACGGCAACTCATGGCAAGCTTGCGGTGAAAGTTCGAATTTCCTCTCTTCTTTTCTCTGGTCTGTTCTGCCCTCCGTCGTGTCCAAGACAGGTATAGGCAACAACGAGGACAAGCCGTCTCTAGTTAAAAAAAAAAAAAAGCTTGCTACGTCTAAAAAGTTTGATCTCTTCCGCCTTCGTGAGCGCCTTGACCGAGTTAAATGCGAGGTCAGGGCTATATATCTAGGGACAAAAAAAACATAGTAGTGAATATTCAAAAAAGCGCCTCCCGCACCAAGGTTGGATGAGTTGTTTGTTTGCTTGTAGACGTGTGGTTATGCAATGGGATTGTGTGCGGACGAGCCAAGGTGAATTAAACCAAAAGAAGGGGGCGCGTCCTCAATCGGGCGCCGCTCCCAGGTGCCCAAAGCCGAACGACCTCGGCGTCTTGCTGCTTATGCTCGTGTCTCTGTCGCGGCTGCCGGCTTTTCTTTCCCTGCCGCGGTCCGCCTTTTTGTCGCGGTCCTTGTCGCTGCCGCTCCGGTCCTTGTCCTTATCGCGGGACTTGTCCTTGTCCTTGTCCTTGTCCTTGTCCTTGTGCTTGGCGCCGTCCTTTGCGTCCCCGCCACTCCTTTCGCGGTCTCCGTTCGAGTCTTCGTTGTGGTGATGGAGATGGTGGTGGCCGCCGACGCCAAAGTAATGGCGGCTATTCTCCTTTGCGTCGCCGGCGCCCCGGTCCTTGGGCGCGGGCGAGACGCCGCCCGTGTCCGGGCTGGCGGTCCGGCTCTTTTTGATGAGCCCGCTCAGGAACTTGCGTGCCTGGCGGCCGTTGCGCAGGCCGCGGATCGCGTTGTTCGCGTGCCCGCCGAGGGTGGTAGCGGCCGCCGACGTCGACGCCGACGCCGCCGTCCCGGATGCGACGGAGCCCGAGGCGTCGGACCCGTAGCTGATCTGCCGGCCCCAGTGGTCGCGGCTGGCGCTGTAGTTGCGCAGGTCGGCGCTGCTGGCGCCGCGCTGGTGCGTGTGGAGGCCGTGGCTGCTGTTGCTGTTGTACGCCGCCGTAACGTCTGAGCCGGCCGAGCCGGGAGGGCGCGCCCCGCCGGCGTAGGGCGACGGCTCGTTGTACCAGGATGAGCCGGCAGTGCTGCCGTCCAGCATAAGGCCGGTGCTGTCCAGGGCCTCGGCGAGGGAGCTTAGGGCATCCTCGGCCGCGGCCTGGGACGCCGACTCGGCGGCGCGGATGGCCTCGACGCGGGCCGCGCACTCAGCCGCACGCTTCGAGAGGGCAACGCATGTCTCGTGGAAGAGCAGCAGGTCGCCCTCGAGCGCTGGGTTGCCGCTGCCGCTACCGCCGCCTCCCGGGCCCGCCGTTGCGCGGTGCGAGTCGGTCCAGAGCCGGACAAGGGCGGCGTAGTTGCGCGGAAGGTCGATGAGATGCGGCAAGGATGGCAGGCCCTCGCGGGCCACGGGAGGCAGTCGACCCACGATGGTGATGGGGGTGGAGTAGGAGGCCGGAGGGACAAAGACGCCTGGACGTTCGGCGGGGACGGCGCAGATGGTGTCGATAAAGTCCTTGACCGACTGTCGGTGAGAGTTGAGGAACCTGTTCATGGGCTCCATCCACGTCTCCTTCTTGCCGATGGTGGACAGGTTGGCCAGGGCCTGGAGGCCCTTGGCAATTAGTGTGAGGGTGCGCTGGGCGCGGGGGCGCGGGTGGTCGCGCAAGATGCCAAACAACTTCGGATTGAGTATGGCCGGGCAGATGAAGCGCAGGAAGAGGAAGCCCGAAACGGAGGTGTATGCGACGGTGCGTAGGAAGTCGCCATAGCGGTCCTCGGCGACGGCACGCACATACTTGAGAATCTGGCGCAGCTCTTGCGGCATCTTGTGGGCCGAGGAGGCGATGCACTCCCAGATCTCGCCCGTGATGTGCACCAGCTGGTTCCAATGCATCTGCACGTCCTCGCCGGCCTGGACCTTGCTCGGGTCAACCTCGCAGTTTGGGTTGAGGTCGTTGATCTCGTGCACCTTTTCGCCCAACACCTCCTCGATGTACTCACCGCCCAGGCGGCGCATGTGGAACTCGAGCGACTGGGTCAGCAGCGAGTTGCCGCGGAACAGCAGGTTCGCCTCGCCGGCGAGCGACTTGCTCATGTCGCGTACGAGCTGCTCGCGGTCGCTGGCCGACTCTACCGACTCGACCGACTTGAGCCGTCGGTTGTAGCGCATCTTCTTGATGGTGGCCTGGTTTCCAATGCCGTCGATCTCGTCCTCGACTAGGGCCATGAGCCACTCGCTGGCCGAGCCCGAGACCTGGAAGATGTTGACCAGGATCTCGGCGACGCGGCGGAGGTTGCCCGGGAGCGCGTCCGAGATCTGCACCGTCAGCTGCGTGCTGAAGCGGTGCAGCAGGTCCGACAGCGGCTGGTATTCGCGCCCACGCAGCACCGCCAGCTCCTCGTGGTGCACCTTGGCCAGCATGGACCCGATGGACTGCTGCTTGCTGTCGTATATCTGCAGCCACTGCTCGTGGTCCTTGCCCTGGTCCAGGTGCGCCAGCGGGATGTCGACGGACCCGCACACGACCTCGACCAGGTTCCCAGACCGCGGCAGACCCAGTGACGCCTGCAGCTGGTGGCTCAGGCTCTCGGCGCTTGCCTCCTGCCGCTTCAGCACCACCGAAAGGTACGGCAACGTCGCCGGCAGATGGCTGAACACGCAGTGCTCGCGCCAGAAGGGGTTCTTCGTGTCCGTCTGCGTGGTCGTCCGGGCGCGCACCTCCCCATCTAGTATCACCTCGGCCAGATAGTTGCCCACCAGGGGATCTGGCTCGTTCTTGCCGTGAAGTCTGTGGTTGTTGGTGTGCTCGTCCCGCGGCTTGAGCTTCGCCTCGGTCACCCGCAATGTGATGGTCTTCTCTATCCTGAAAATCTCGCTGCCCTTGTAGTCGCTCTCGAAGTCGGTCACCTCGAGCAGGTGAAGCCCGTGCGGCCGGTCCAGCGCATACATGTCTGGCATGGTAAATGCCCTCAAAAGCACGTACCATACCTCAAACAGCACCTTGGAGTCCAGGGCAATGTACAGCGGACGGAAGATGGACAGTTGTGTCGACGTGGGAGCGTATATGGGGAGTATGCCAAGGCAGAACTCGTCGTCAAGGACCGACTTGTCCAGCTGCTGGATCGCGCATCGTGACAGCTGCGCCAGCTCGATCACAGCGAGAACCGTGACGTCGTTCTCCGTCATCAGCCTAAACTCGCCATTGTCCTGCAGGATGCACGACACCCTCCTCCACGACGTCTGGATCGAGCGCAGGTCTCTCGTGGACGGCCGTTTGGCAATGGCTCGCGGCGAGGTGGCGAGGCCCTTGTCCCATAGCTTTACCTTGCCCACCTTGATGATGGTGCTCTCCTTGGTCCTGTTGGAGGAGCCGCGCCTCCTAGGCTCCGAGCGGTCTGGCGTTGGTGTGCTGTTGCCTCTTGAGCTACCGGGCTTCACGGGCCCAGGCCGCATTTGCTGCCACGACAGGAGAGCGGCGAGCCAGAGATCGAACTCGTCGCCGGCCACCGGCCGCACATAGATCTCACCGCCCGGATGGAGGTGAGCAATCTCGAGGCACGGAACTTCGCTGCCGGGCAACTCAACAGGCAGAACCCTACAGCCACGCAAATCAGGCACGATTGGCACATGGTAGTTGTCGCCCGTATCGAACATGAGGCTCCCCCTCTCCTCCTCGATATATCCCATGCCCAAGCACCAGCCGCCCTCAGGGTCGTCGCTATACTCGATCTCGCCCCTCATGCGACCACAGAGGTTCCGCATCAGCTGCAGCACGTGGTTGGCGTTGGCTGTCGGGATAGGCAGCGGCAGCGAGTCCATGTACGGCGGAGGGGAAACGAGCGGGGACGTCGGTCTGGAGTTGGTGCGCTTGATCAAGCGCCTGCCGCTCGGCTTCCTGTCCCTGCCGGCGAGAGCCATTGCGCTTTCGACAGCGGGCGCCTGCGCCCGCACGGGGCTGACTATCGAGGGAATCCCGATGGACTCTGCTGCGGTGCATGTGGTGAGCGAGCCGGCCAGGCTCTCGGACGAGACGGTGGTCAGGGCAGTGCCAGACGAGACCGAGGCGACGCGGTGGCGTTCGGTGTGTGCGGGCTGCGTTTGGCGGAAAACCGACGGTGCGTCCAGCGTACGCGTACGAGGCCGGAGCGAGGATTGTCGAGGGGGCGGAGGAGGAGTCGAAGTGAGACCGCCAGCGCTGCCGTCGGTGTTGGGATCTGGAAAGGCCTCCTTGAACACCCTGCCCTGGCGGCGAGGGCCGCCGGCACCAACAGCGCCGCTTCCGCTTCCGCCACTACTGCTCCCGCTACCGCTCGCGGTGCTGGCGGCAACAGAGCCACCAGTGCCTGCCGTTATAATCCTGTGCGAGCTCTGCAGCGAGGGCGTCGACAAGGAGCGGGGAACATGGGCCGTCGTGTCAGAAAAGGCGCTGGAGACGATGCTGGGCGAGTCGTCCTGAACTGTCTTGGTGCCCACAAAGCCTGGGAACTCGTTTGTTATTGTGGGAGCGCCCGCTTGTCTGACGGCCTCGGCGGCTTGGTCGGCGGTCGGTTTCCTAGTTATGGCGGTCGCCCTCGTCGGGGAGCGAAAGTCGGAACGGATGTTGGTGGCCGAGGGCTTCTTGTCGAGAATCGCGGCTGCCGATGCTGCCGACGCTGCAAAGGCGATGTGCGTGGGCGTGGGCGTGGCTAGCGAAGGCTCTGGCAAGATCTTCAGGGTCGGCAGGCTCGGGCTGGGCGAGGACAGGACTGGCGACGCCGGGCTGCTGCTACTGCTGGTACTACTGCTGCTAGTACGGCTGCTGGTCGTCGAGGACGGGATCTTGTTTTGGAGCTGATCGTAGACAAGTGGCGGTGTTGGCCGTGCAGGTGCTGGCGCGAGGGGAGTTGGGAAAGACTCCTCCTCGCGGTCCTGCGAGCCGCCGCCGCCTGCGCGGACACCCCTTCCGCCCATATCTCTCTCTCTCTCTCTCGCTCGCTCTCACTCTCCCCCAGGGCGGCAGAGGCGTGCGTTGGGGCTCCTGCAAACAGCAGCCCGGGTCTCAGTCAGGCGTCCTGCACGGTCGCTTCGGGCGCATCGAAGTCTGAGCAGCAGGACAGGGCGGAGTGTGTAGGGGGGCCCGGCGAGAGCAGCGTGTCCAGCAGCCAGCTTGGCTGGTGTCTGGCGGTGCGAAGTGGCCGTTGGGGTGTCTGCCGGTCGTCCGACCCTTGGTCTCGGTTTGCGGTGAATATGGGGGCGCCTGCCGGGAGGGAAGGGACTCGGACAGCACACCCTGAACACAGGGCAACAGCTCTGGAGGAGGATCGTTGGAGGGGGCGTGCAAAGGGCGGTGGTCGGAGCCGCAGGACAGAGAGGGCCAATACCAAGAGCGACCAGCACCAAAATCGGCACTACACTATGGTGTGCAGCGGGCCTGCTGCGAACGGAGGGTTCGTATGCTCGGATGCAGCAACCACGGGCGAGCGGGACCAGGCACGGAGGGTCGATGGTGGTGGTGGCGCAATGGGGAGGGGATCGAGGGCGCAGCAGACGGACGTGTGGGTGTGGTGCTGCAGCGAAGGGGCGATCTCGGGCGAGGTCGAATGGTTCTCGAAGACAGCTAGCACTGCGAGGCTTGCGTGAGTACCTAGGCAGGCAGGCGTGGGTTGTGTTAGGTTAGGTAACCAAGTCGCAGGTGACCCTCCGTGTCTGCAGCTAGCTTGGGTGGAGGGAAGGAGCAAGGGGGAAGGAAAAAAAAACGATAAAAAAAAAACAGGAAATTGATTTGTCTCTGGCCGTCGGTCCTGTCCCGGATGCATGGGAATGGGTCGCCCTCCTCTTTCGTGCTCCAGCTCTCCCCAGGCACCTACCGGTTGGGGAATTAATTCAAGGGACTGTATCAATTGGGCTTGCCTCAGCTTCTGGCACTCGGGCACCCAAAACCTGAGATGAAAGCACGCACGCCATTGGAGCTACAGTGGCAGCATCAGTAGGAGTAGCAGTAGCCGTAGCAGTAGCATGTCTCAGAATCTTCAATTTTGCTCATGGCGTTGTTTGCTTTATCCTAGCCTGGTCCCAGGTGCGCGGCGGTGCAACCAAGCCGTCTCCAAGTCGCCAAGTGAAGCAAACAAAATGCCAAAGAAGCAAAGAAACAGTGACATCCTCCGGCAGCCGGACCTTCTTCTCCAGCCATGTTTCCAGTGTGCAGTGTAGTTGGGCCCACTGAGAATGGCTCTTCCTTTTCTTTCCTTCTTTGTTTCTTTTTTCTCCCTCTTGTCCGACCGCCCGTTGATCGCAGCGGCCTTAATCCCCGTTATTACTACCCCATTATTTACTTTCCTTCTTGGCCCCCCTCCCCTGCCTGCGTGATCCGCCTTCGCGACCGCTCTCTTCCCTCCAACATGGATGTCTGTGCAGGAAGCGTTGACCCGGAGTGTTTGATGAAGGGGGCCTTCGCGGCATGACGGAGTAAGGAATAAAAGGCCAAAAAAAAAAACAACAACCACAAGCCAGAAAGCCAAAAAGTCGACACCGGGGAAGGGGAGATGGCGAGAGCCAGAAACGAGCAACAAGTGGCGGCGCAGGGTTGCGTGGGGAAGCTTGTTACCATGTTGCTTAGCCGGTGTGCTTTCCTTTTTTTCCCTCTCCTTGTCCCCTTCCTTCTTCCCCTGCGGATTGCTTGCCCGAGCTTGAGCCGTCGGCAAAGGGTTGAAAATGCATCGTCATTTCTCAGTGCTCGAGCGCACCTGGGCTTCCATGGTTCGCCGCTACCGCATTTGCCTAGTAGCCCCGTGTTCCCCCCCAACACGACCAGAGAAAGGGACAAGACGGTAGGAGAGATTGCCCGCGGCGAATTTCCGCGGGTGGGCGTGTTTCGATATTTCCATCATGGCTGACAAGGTGGAGATTGCACGTTGCCTGCCACCCTGCCCAAAATAAACCCAATGGTCCCCACGACCAAGGAAAGACGAGAGAAAAACAAAAAAGGGGGGGGGGGGGGGGGCCCTGGTCCTCCTCGAGAGCCTGACGACATGGGCCCCGGATCACGATGAGCAGAAGCAGGTCACGCCCTCTCAGCCCTGGTCCGACTTGAGTAACCAGGGTGGTCTGGTCGTCAGGCAGGGCCTCGGGTTTCCGCCAGTTTTCCAGAAAGCAGCAGAAAACGGATCGCACATGGAATCTGACCGATCGAACCTAATCGCCCTCGCCGTCCCAAGCAGGCCCGGCTGCCGTCGTCGTCGTTGTTGTCGTTATCGTCGTTGCGACACTGATCGGACTAAGCAAATTTGCCCGACGTCTCTTTTTTTTTTATGCCTTGCTCCATGTTCTCCCCCTTTCCACCCGATCCGACATCGCCTAGAACTAGAACCGCCTAAACCCAAGATGTTCAAAGGCCGGTGCGAGAGAAACCAAGCTAGCGGGGAGAAGGTTTAGACAAAAGGGACCCATGGCGGAAGTTTCCTTGTCATAAAACGCACCCAGTCATGACACCTCTTGAGTTCGGGATTTGCAAAAAAGTGGACAAAGCGAACAGGGGGGAGGCCATCCTCCACCATCAAACCCTGTTCCCCAGCGATACCGGGGGAGACGGGCGTTCAGTAACCCTCGCCCACCACAATGCTCCGCCCTCCGCCGTACCACAGCACCCCGGCCCAGACGTCCAGCCCGCGCTCCTGGCCCACGGCCCACTCGCCCACGAACCCCCCCGTGCCGCCGTCACCGCCGCCGCCGCCGCCGCCGCCGCCGCCATCGCCGCCCCACACCTCGGCCTCGAGCCAGGCGTTGACCTCGTCGATGCGCCGCACCCACGCCTCGCGCTGCGCCGCCGTCGCGTGGTCGTCCTGCGCCACGAACCGCGCTAGCGTCACGTGTGCGCTAGGAACCACATAGCGCGAGTTGATGGCTATCTCGTCCCCGGCGACCCGCCTGGCGCCACCGCCGCCACCACCGCCGCCGCCGCCGCCGACCGTCATGTCGAAGACGTCGCGCCGGAGGTGGTGGTACGAGTACGAGTCGCCGTCGTCGCACTGTTGCTGCTGCTGCTGCTGCTGCTGCTGCAGCACACCCGGGGACAGGACCGGCTCGCCGGCCGCGGGCAGGAACGACAGCGCCACGGCGGCCAGGTCGTGCGACACCATGGGCTTGACGAGGCGCGCCCGGTGCGAAAAGGTGTGGTTCGCAATGTCGGCGGCGCGCGGCCGCAGGGCCTCGACGAGCGCCGCCACCGTCTCGGCCGGCTGCGAGTGCGTCACCTCGAGCGCCGTCATGTGCATCCGGTGCAGGGGCATGAGCCACAGGTCTGTGTTTTTTTTTGTTTTGCTCACATGGTACCAACTTAGCATTGCTCCCTAGACTTCCGGGGCTATCCTTCTCATCCCCACCCGTGAACTCATGTAACAGATTGGAAGCAGGACCCACGTGGCGCAACCTCCTTCAGCTTGCGCTGGATGTGGCCCATGAGCTGGAGCACGTGCTCCGGCGGCCGGGCCCAGACGACAAGGCTGTTCCTCGGGTCCTTGAAGCCGGGCTCGAGCGTCGGGTCCTCGAGCCGCATGAGGATGGTGTCCGTGATCACCTCCCGGAACTCGGCTGCCAGGAACTTTTTCTTTTGCTGAGCATTTCTCGCCTTTCGGTGCGTTGCGTATAGTGCTTGTATCTCATTCTGTCGTGATCAAAACGAGTAAAAGAAAGAAGTAACCCCAATGTAGACAAATGAATCAGCTCCAGATCGGCCCAACGCGTGTTTGCTCTGTTTGGCAGATGGTAAACCTCACAACGCAACACCACCATACGTCACATCACATCATATCACATATCTCGGCTCCCGCATTTGCTTACTTACAGGCTTCCCGCTGCACGCCTCGATCAAGGCATTGTACGGGTTCTCGCCCGGCTTCAGGACGATGCCCGAGAGGTCCTCGAGCTTGTTCCTTGCATCGACCGAGTCCGCCATGGATACGGCTCTCTTTTTCTGCTCCGAGTATGATCCGTCTTGTTCGTCTCGGCTTGCCTGGGCCGGTATCGGGCCTGCTGTCCTTTTACCCTCCTCGACCTAGCCTGCCAGCCGGCCGACACTGTGAGCGCGCTCGTTGCGAGTAAGCAAGGTCAATGGGATATCGGGCGGGGCAGACTGCCGACTGCCCGATGTGGGTATTGTGTAGCAGTAGCAGCAGCAACGGTAGCAGAGTCTCAATTGCATCCGGCAAGACTGTCGTCTGTTGCGAGCGGTGACGGCATAAGCAAGCCCCTCAGCCAGCCTCCGCCAGCCTCACCCACATGGAACCCCACACTGGCTGGGCTCAGCTCGTCGCACACTCAAAAATGCATCATGCTCCCTCTCGGCATGAATCCTGGCAGCCAGCAGTTTCTTTGAAACATGCCTTGGTATTTCCAACTTGGGCTATGCTGAGAAGACGACGCGGATTGTCATTTTCTGTCAACATTAACAGCTAAGGCGGACGC